AAAAAACCACATCAGTGCGCATGCGCTGGCAGACAGAAAAAAAAAACAGATCCGCGGACGGACGTAAAACTGGGAAAAACAATGCAATCATCACTTATTCATGTCTCTAACTATGTTGCTTGCTGTTTTATATCTTAGGGTTAGGGTCAGGGTTAGGGCTAATTGTAATTTATATTAAATGGGCATCAGATGCGCATGCGCATACAACGAAAAAAAGGTCCAAAACGTACGAAATTACGGTGCATAACTTTTCATACGATTTCATACAAACTCATAATAGGAATACACTGAACGTTTTGCACGCTTTCGGATTGCAACAAAGCTGGAAAATGAGGACCAGCATGTGCAAGTAAATTCACTTCTGTATGCAATGGGCAGAGACGCCGAGCCTGTGTTTAGCCCTTTCACTGATCTGCAGAAAGCGAATTACTTTGATACTGTAATAGCAAAGTTTGATGGACATTTTGTGCGAAAACGTAACGTTATTCACGAACGTGCCTGTTTTCATTGATGTTCCCAGCAGAGTGGGGAAAGTGTTGATGCTTTTGTACGTTACTTGTACGAGCTTGCAGAACACTGCATGAATTTGGGGCTAGTAAGAATGAACAGATACGCGACAGACTAGTCATTGGTCTGAAAAAGCCTACGTGAAAGCCTACGTGCAGGCGGTGATGGCTACCAGACCAGTGTCAGACAACAGACTGGAGAAGATCCATGCGGTGACCCTCAAGGATGAGGATCTCCAGCGAGTCACCCACTACGTCCGCCACAGCTGGCCAATTTCAATGTTACAGTTGCCACACAGAGTCCAGGGGCTACCACAAAGCAGGGGCTCACCTTTCTGAAGCCGACGGCTTGTTGCTGCACAATGACAGAATCGTCATCCCAGGGTCACTTTGAATCAACTTGACTGTATGATCAGGTAAAATGTTAAGTGCCTTGAGATGACATGTTGTAAATTGGTGCCATAGAAATAAACTGAATTGAATTGAACTTAATTTAAAGTAGGTAATATATCATTCAAAGGCTCATATAATTGGTCAAATGCAAAAATAAGATGTACAGCCATGTAGCAGTATCTTTGCTGAATGGCTGGATATAGATCTTGTGCTGCTAGATTTCACTAAGGGATGGGGTAGGACTCCATTTGTAAAGGCTATGCAAGTTATCAAAAACTCAAACTTTCCCTTTAAAGGCTTAAAGGTCAGAATCTGTATTATATATGAAACCTAAATAAAATAAAAAATTGGTCCCGGTATCAATATCAACAATGCTTGCAGTATTTCTACTTAATATCGGATCAGTGTAGCATGCCTCTGATCATTAATATCTTTATTATTTTTACTTTTTTTTTCAATTGTGGGGAAATAAATCATAATGTAAACTGTATAAAAATTAAAAATTGGTATGCTATTGAAAATAACCTGTACTGTTTACTCTCATGATAAACATATACTCTTTCATCTCTCTTTTCAATTCTTGTTTGACTAAAGGTGATATTTAAATGGTTTCCCTGACAACCGTGGTTAAGATAGCAACAATTGCATCTGAGCTAACATGCATAGCCTGCTGACAAGTTTGATGGAGCTTTAACTCTATATTCAAGATAGCTTATTAACTTTAATTTCCCCTTCAATGCAGACTATTCCACAAACACCAACCTTAAGGTCACTTCTTAACCCTGACAAAGTTTATATTCAGTCTTAATACTTGCATGTAAACATCAGCCTGAGTGTTCTCTGCAGTAATGACTGAACTAAATGTATGGCTAATGGTAGCTTTGTTTCCTAAATAATTATTATACTTAAAAAGTAAAGTGCTTCAGCGTAATCATAGTTCTCTTCAAAATCCAGAGCCAAGGAAGAAATTGAGTTTAGGAAGGGATTTCTGATGAGACTAGCATATCTGAAATGCCATAAGCTGCCACAGAGCTTACTCAGTAGTCTATTATGAATATGCTGACAAGGCTTTGAAATTCAAATGCAGCCTGGGCTTGGTACCCGTCACTAACACCAAATCTCCACAGAAACCAGGCTGCTGCCTTCTTTTTATTTTTTTTTCCAGTGCCGCATTACCAAAGAATACAAAATGAGCACAAATATCTCACCCCACAGGATGTGTTGGAGTGCATGCGGTACGGCATGCAGTAATGTTGAACCTAATTACATTACCAATAACCCACAGATTGAAAGTGTGACCACTGTCAGCTGGGGGCACAGCTTTACCAGCTTCTGATATAACCCTGTACACCAGTGATTATTTCTGATGGATTCACACCGTCCTCTCCCTTATGATTTGGTGCGACGGGTTCATTTAACCAGGCTTTGGAAGTTAGGGAAAACAAATTGGCTACAGGCAGGACCCAGCTGCGCCCTTTGTGCAACTGAACCGAATTACTCCTTTAGCCATAATCTGCCACAAAGGAAGGAAAAAGATGCTGACATCTCCAGGGGGGGGGGGCTGGACTCTGTTATTTCTGGGGCAATAATAGCTTGTTGAGGAACAGTAAATCTGTTGTTGGGGAGGGGATTTCTGGGACTACGGGTGAGACGTATTCATCTTTGGTGTGTCCATTAACAAGCAGCTGATTTTTCACCTCTACATGAAGGAATTTTAAAACTAAACCATCTAGGTTCACAACAATAACTGATTTTTCTAGTAATAACAATAATTCAACTCAATTTAGGTTTATTAAATAGTGCCAATTCACAACATATGTCATGTAAAGGTAGCCTGGGTGCCATTCCGAACTTAGTCCCGCCCACAACATTTAAGGTCGGGAGGTTCGGTCTTGCATTGCTACATAGTAGCGCGAGTATGCTCGCACAATATATGGCGATCCAATCAAATTGTCAGGGCGGGCTTTATACGATGATGGACAGATGACCAACAGTAACGTAATCAACCACGTGACCAAAGCGCGCTTGGGTGACAACAATAATGGCTGCCGCTGGAGAGTTTAGGTGAGTAGATTCTGCTATTAGGTCTGTTCTAGAAGATATCGACAGCAAATTAATTTTAAAACAGGAACAGAGAAACGCGATCAAGGCTCATCTTCTTATTATAGGCGTGAAACTGCACGCTTTGATTTATGTTGACAACAACTGTGCCAGGCTTAACATACGTCACGCACTCCGTTGCTCTTATTGGTTGTAGGTCTATCCAATTGAGTGCAGAGGCATTTTTTTTCCTGGATTGTTCGAAACACGCCCCATAATCACAGCTCTATGGAGCAGCATCAGACTCATATTCTGACTAGAATTGAGTAGGACAACGTCAGGCTAATCTAAAGGCTCTTTACAGAGACAATTCCATCAGATCATAGTCGGATTGATATAAGTTTATAGCAAGGAAAATCAGTTGATTGGATTTAGTCATTAAATTCTAAGGATTCACTCCTCCTGGATAAGTATGTGGCGACAGTAGACATTTGCTTTCCTTATGTTGTTGACTCTACAGCAAAGTGTACTTATATAGCGCTTTTTCAGGAGACTTGACCAAAGAGCTTTCATTACATTCAGTCATTCACCTATTCACTCACACACTGATGATGGTGAGCTACATTATAGC